CGACGCTCTTCCGATCTCCCCAAAACCCCAAAACCCCTCAAAGGTAATCCACTGAATTTAATCCAGATAAAAAATAAGTTCAAATAAGAATTAAAATAATAGATTGGATAAATCATAATCGAATGATCATCAATGCTTTATAATTGCAATATATTTCGATCATTGATTCTTGGATTTAGGATTTTGCATTCCAGATGCTAATTATGCAAATTTGCCTCCATCCTTTTAACTAAGCTCTTGGAAACCTCCCTCTTCAACAAGTCGACCACTCTCAAGAACAAGGACTCTATCACATTTCTCAACAGTACTGAGTCTGTGAGCAATTACTATAGAAGTTCTGTTCTTCATGATATTGTCGAGAGCTACTTAAACTTGTCTTTGAGACGCCTCATCTAGAGCAGAGGTAGCTTCATCAAGGATAAGCATTTTAGGTTTTCTTATAATAGCTCTGGCAATTGCGATTCTTTGTTTTTAACCTCCAGAGAGCTTGCATCCTCTCAGGCCACAATCAACAGTGAAACCATTGTGCAATTGAATATCTTTCTTGTCTTCAACTCTTCTATCAATATCTCCTTATTGTGCTAGGAATTTACCTTACTTGATCTCATCTTTCTTCAAATCTTCTAGAAGGCCTAAAGCTTCATTGTACTCATTCTCACCCAATACTGATACAACAATCTTTTGATTTTCCTTGAATTTTGTTATAAGAGATTCAGCAGAGTCATCTAGTGCATTGTTTAGCTCTTAAGTCTCTATGAATTCCAAAGCATTAGCAACTTCAGCTGCAGCTCTTATATCAGAATTGCTCGCCTAATCTTGGCCATAGAGAATATTTTCAAGTACAGTATAATTGAAGAGTGTTGGCTCCTACATAACTAATCCTATTGCTTGTCTAAGTGATTTCAACTCATAGTTTTTAATATCTTGACCATCAAGTAAAATGAGTCCTGAGTTGACATCGTAGAACCTGAGTAGTAAAGATACGATGGTTGATTTTCCACAGCCTGATTCCCCAACTAATGCAACAGTTTCTTTAGAATTAATTTTCATGTTAAGTCCCTTTAGAATCCAATCATTCTTTCTTGTGGGATATCTGAACCAGACATTTTTAAATTCAATTTCTCCCTTGAAAGTTTATGAGTTAATTTTGATAAGATCACTGCCAGGTTAGTTAATAGCATTGATCTTCGAGGGAATATCCATCATACCGAATACTTTAGCTGAAGCAGCTTTTGCTTTTCCAATATCAGGACCAAACTGTTAGGCTTGACCAGCAGCCATAGCTCCAAACATCATTGTAAAGATAGCAATAAAAACCTCATCTGGTTTATCTTTGTCTAACTCCTTGTTATCGAAATTATTTTGAATAATAACTGCACCAACATAATAGAGTACAGCGAAAACAGCATACTGCACAAATTAAGAGAATCCGAAGATAACTCCAATTACATGGTTCTTTCTTGCTGCAATCTTAAGTGGACCGTCTAGAAGTTTCTTATAATCATTAAGTATTTGATCCTCATTTCCGAATGAAGCAACAGTTCTATAATTTATAATGACATCACCAGCTAGTAAGTTAGCTTCTTTAGAGGCAGAGTCAGAATCTGAGCTCATGCCTGCCTGGAATTAAGCATTCATAATACTTGCAACGATCATAAATGGAACACAAGCCAAGCAAGCTAGGGAAATTTTCCAGTTAAAAAAAAAGCCGATGACCACACCTGAAAGAATTGCAAAGGCTGCCTCTAAAGATGAAGCGAGACCTTCTGCACTCACTCCGTTTATAATCTAAGCATCACATGCCATTGAAGCAGAAATAACACCTGGTGCATTTTCCTTTTGATCAAAGTACCCAATATGTTTTTGCAATACTGAACTGTACTGTCCTTCTCTGATTTTAAGAGTAACATTCTCTCCAATGACTCCAAAGCATAATTTTTGCATGAAGCCAGTAAAAAAAGAGATTAATGCAGCTATGAGTATTTGCAGGCAGTACATGTTTGAATCAGATCTTACATCATTCCCTAGAGGCACATAGTAGTAATTAAGAACAAATAGCATCTTGGCTAACAGTATTCCGAACCAAGGCATGATCATACCCTAGCACATAGACACGAAAAGTCCAATGAGAATATTTACTCTTGGCTGACTAATCTTGACTAATCTCATGAAATTGTTTTTCTTAGCTAGTTCTTTCTTGAATGCTTCAAACTCATCGTCTTCTATTTTATCAACATCATCCTACTTAGTCTTCATCTCTTATTCTTCTTTATCTAGAATAAGTTGCTATTTGCTTTCTTCTGAAAGTCTTGCTTCCTTTACTTACTCATTTTTTTCTGTAATTTATGGCTCATCACCTTAAACATCCAATTCTTGTTTTCTGTCCTCACTTTACTCCTGCTCTTTTACGAACTTAGCATATGTTCCTTCTGGATAGTTTTGGAGTAAAGTCTAGTGATTTCCTATTTCAATGATCTTACCTTTATGCATCACAATGATCTTATCTGAATTAATGATTGAAGAGAGCCTATGAGCAATCACTATTGTGGTAATCGAACCCAACTCCTGACTGATTTTATCAATAGCACCTTGCACTTCATTCTCATTTCTTTTATCAAGAGCACTTGTAGCTTCATCAAGAAGTAGAATCTTTGGTTTCTTGATAAATGCTCTGGCAATAGCAATCCTCTATTTCTAGCCTCCTGAGAGTTGTCCACCTGCATTACCAACATTCGTGTTGATGCCATCTTCACCCATTTTCTCATTAATGAAGTCCCAGGCATTGGCTGATTTCAAAGCTTAAATAATTTCCTCATCAGTAGCATCTGGCTTTCCGTAGAGAAGATTTTCCTTAATGGTAGTGTTGAAAAGTACTGGCTCTTAGCCAACATACCCAATCTTGCGTCTGAGATCTCTTAGGTTAAGATT